TATTTATAAATAAATAAAAATTTTACCCTAGAGAACGCGGGTTCAATTCCTGCGCCAGGCTTTAATTTTTTTTTTATTTATAGCATCATGCTGCATGTATCGCAGGTCATTGATGCAGCAGATATAACATGTATAACGCGTTTTCTTTGTATTCACACAGTTAGTAAAGTCGTATTCACGTCGTGTTTTTTTTACTTTTATGCTCTCTAATCATGATTTCTGAGGTTATACCATCCGTTGAACCCTCCAATCATGATAATTATGATAATAATAAAGATAACGAAAGTACTACGCCATTTGCTGAAAATATTTTAAGTTCTAATTTTAAAGATTGCGTATGAAGTTTACCTTTAATTAACACCCTGATCAAGCTTAAGGTGGGAACTAGCTTTTATTCTATGACAATAGCAGTTCACTATATAGAACAATTCGCTCTTCAGAATAATTTTGCCGTTTTTAAGCATAAAAGTGAAAAGTTTTTGGATGGTACTTGTAGAAAGAAGGTACTTAAGTGTAATTTAGGAGGAAGGTATACTCAAAAACTTTCAAGGCCAACATCAGATAAAATGACGATGAAGGGAAGCAAGAAGCAAGGGTGTAAGTGGCAGATAAATATAATGCGACCGTCAAATTCATCAATAGTAACTGTAACACAATTTCATTCTGAGCACAATCACGAAATTTCTACTGAAACTTTGCAATTTGCTCTTACTTATAGAACTTTTCCTGAAGAAATAATGGATCAAATTGAGTTTTATGTTATACATGGTAGATGTAACGCGTCAATGGTTAGAAATCTTTTGCAACCTAAGTATCCTGACCGCGTATTCCTTACTCAAGATTTTGGAAATGCTATCCAAAAGATTAAACGGGAAAATGGAATAAGCCTGGGTGATGCAGCTTCTTTATTATTGAAGCTTTTTGATCTACAAGCTAATAATCCTGCGTGATTTGTAAAGCCATTATTAGATGATACAAGTAATCGTCTGATCGGTATTTTCTGGATGTCACCAGAGCAACGCGAAAGATGGATCAAGTTTTATGATATCATTATTTATGATAATACCGCAAAGACCAACAAGTATAATTATCCATTAAGTCTTTTCATTTTAATCGATAACTACAATAAGAGTAAATTAGCTGCTCAGGCGTTCTTGCAAGACGAAAGACAGAAATCGTACAAATGGCTACTTCGATGCTGTCTTGAAGCATGTGAAATTTCTCCATTAATATTTGTTACTGATGGAGATCCCGCGATGATTGCAGCTGTTTCCACAGTATTTCCTGAAGCTTCACTAGTCGAAATAAGGCAAATCGGCTAAAAATCGGATATCCGATTTTAGGTCAAATTACGGCTGAAATATGTCCGATTTTTACAAAAAAAATATATTCCGATTGTTATCCGATTGACTGCCAATCAGATGTACTTCGGAACTTAAATCGGACATAAATCAGAACAAAATCATACTAAATTCGGACAGTCAATCAGACTGTCTCTTATACACATCTAAATCGGAACGTTAGCCAACGTTCCGATTAAA